GACATATGTACCAAGTTTGATGAAGCTGGCATGTGTAGTTTCGGATCTGCTCCGGACAAGATGACATCCTCATAGTCACAGCCTAAGTCATGTTTCCATGGAAACGCAAAAAATTAAATTCACATCTGGGTCTAACCCCCAAAAGGCACATCTAGGGATCATGGTTGACATGTGTACCAAGTTTGGTTAAGCTATCACAAATAGTTTAGGAGATATGCTTCGGACAGAAACCACAGTGCTGACAATGACCATTCAGCCTATTTTAGGCTATACAGGTATTTATCACGTTTATTCCAGGGAGGTAAACTAATATTGTTGTCTTTCAATATGTAGGCCAAACTTACAGTGTCTAGGTTACGTCTATAAACATCACAAGAAGAGAAGGCACCATGTGTTACTGACTACCATGATGAAGGCCGCCCTATCTTCTATGTACTCAGAAAGTACTAGCACCATATCATCTTCCTGTATGTTTCAATTAGCTGTGAAACTAGTAGTTCTTCAGTACTCCCCATTTCCTGTCTGCTGGAAGCCCCCTGCCTACCACAACCATCCCTACTTGAGGAGTGGGTGCCACTGCCAACCCTAATTATATCAAGCTGTTATGTTAATGAAATCAGATGAAAGGGTCTGAGGTGTAACTAGATACTGAATGGTCATGCCTACAGTAGAAGCTCCTGGGCCCAGGGCTTGCTGGTCAACCACCTCATCTATCTTGGGGATCAATGAAGCTCTATATTTTCTCTGGATAACTTATGTTTTATCTTACTGAAACATACAAGACATGCTTCTAGAGATATTTAATGATCTTACAGCTGTCCTCCTTGCTGACCTTCTATTTATGAGCATGAGCCTTATTCCACCTGACACCAAAGACAACTGTGGCAAAGAGGAGTGCAGAACATCACACTACACAGTCGGTGCTCCCAGTAGACAAAATAACTACCGGTAGACACTAAATAGGTATACTTTTCAACCTTCACCAGGAAGCCCAAGCTCCAGCTACCACATAGGCCCTGATATCCCAATCACTACACCACTGACCCCGATATTCCCCATCACTACAACACTGACCCCGATATTCCCCATCACTACACCACTGACCCCGATATTCCCCATCACTACAACACTGACCCCGATATTCCCCATCACTACAACACTGACCCCGATATTCCCCATCATTATAACACTGACCCTGATATTCCCCATCACTACACCACTGACCCCGATATTCCCCATCACTACAACACTGACCCGATATTCCCCATCACTACACCACTGACCCGATATTCCCCATCACTACAACACTGACCCGATATTCCCCATCACTACACCACTGACCCGATATTCCCCATCACTACACCACTGACCCCGATATTCCCCATCACTACAACACTGACCCCGATATTCCCCATCACTACAACACTGACCCCGATATTCCCCATCACTACACCACTGACCCCGATATTCCCCATCACTACACCACTGACCCCGATATTCCCCATCACTATAACACTGACCCCGATATTCCCCATCATTACAACACTGACCCCGATATTCCCCATCACTACAACACTGACCCCGATATTCCCCATCACTACAACACTGACCCCGATATTCCCCATCACTACAACACTGACCCTGATATTCTCCATCACTGAAATACGAATGTAATAGGTTGTCAAAGATATTTCTTTCTAAATTCAGCAATAGTGTGGAAGTTACTGTATTTTGATCCTTCTGGAGTTAAGTATCACCAAGAATCTTCTAGAACAACTACTGACTAATCCAGCATGTATGGAACACTCTTGAATGGGCAAGCAGATGCCTCTACCATCTCGAATCAAAACCAGTGGTTGCATGAAGATCACATATTTGAATTATTCTTCACATAGATATATAGGTTACTTTATTGTTTTAATCAGGAAGTCGACAAATAACATATGACTGATCTTCTATGTTTTAAATACACAGTCAACCACTTCTATGAAACTGCTGTTGATGCCACAAGAAGACTAATGAACACTCACTGTTTAATGCATTAATTCAACCACAACACCTTCCTCATCCCCACTCAGATGAACAGATGCAGCATTACATCAAGTTGAAACCAACAGGTGTTGTGAGCTCTGTGCTTATTAACCTACATCACTCAAACAAACAGGAACCGACTCGAAACACCTTTACCATTTCCTTTCAGCAGTGAGATAATGAAGTGTACTTGTTTCCAACCTTAAGTCAGTATATAAACATCATTAACACATGTAAGCTGGATATCACTCTTACCTAAGTCACTAAGACTACTTCAAATATACATCTATTAACTAACAACATCTGGAGACACTGTGTCTAATGTAAGTACAGTTATTCATCAGGATGCCAAACTTACTTACTATATTTATAAGGCATTTAGAAGTTGTACATTGATGTCCAAGATATTTTTTATGGATTAAACTTCTTTTTTAATTTCTCTCACAACGTTTGAGACCATTCCTGGTCCCTTCATCAGTACTGATGAAGGGACCAGGAATGGTCCCTTCATCAAACGCCTGATGAAGGGATTAAAAAGAAGTTTAATCCATAAAAAATATCTTGGATATATTTATAAGATTAAAATAGCTGATGACAGCTTATCCAAGTTCAGTTTAAATGGACTGTGTGCACTACAAGAGACAATCCAATCTAGTTTCTGAAACCTTTTCCCATCAAAACAAACACTTATTTATTCAAGAATAATAAGGTGTGCACCGTATGGCTTTAATATCTGTACAAGTATCTATTGTGTAAGTGTCCCCGATATACTGGTGGTGTCATGCTTGTGGGTTTACTGAAAGACACTGTCAACCCACAGACCCAACTGTAGGGTGATCAGGCTGACCTACATACTCTATCTACAACTGCTGCCCCAACACAAATTATGTATAGTATCTAGGCACACCTACCGTACTATTACAAATCGACAATAATAATGTATTGTATCTAGGCACACCTACCATACTATTACAAATCGACACTAATAATGTATTGTATCGAGGCACACCTACCATACTATTACAAATCGACACTAATAATGTATTGTATCTAGGCACACCTACCGTACTATTACAAATCGACACTAATAATGTATTGTATCTATACACACCTACCATACTATTACAAGTCGACACTAATAATGTATTGTATCTAGGCACACCTACCATGCTATTACAAATCGACAATAATAATGAATTGTATCTAGGCACACCTACCATGCTATTACAAATCGACAATAACAATGTATTGTATCTAGGCACACCTACCATACTATTACAAATCGACAATAATAATGTATTGTATCTAGGCACACCTACCATACTATTACAAATCGACAATAATAATGTATTGTATCTAGACACACCTACCGTACTATTACAAATCGACAATAATAATGTATTGTATCTAGGCACACCTACCATACTATTACAAATCGACACTAAGAATGTATTGTATCTAGGCACACCTACCATACTATTACAAATCGACAATAATAATGTATTGTATCTAGGCACACCTACCATACTATTACAAATCGACAATAATAATGTATTGTATCTAGGCACACCTACCATGCTATTACAAATCGACAATAATAATGTATTGTATCTAGGCACACCTACCATGCTATTACAAATCGACAATAATAATGTATTGTATCCAGGCACACCTACCGTACTGTCATAAAAGATCTTAAGCACTTTCAGGGACAATTCTCGGCACCACTACTGTAATATTACAAATGTTCTCCCACAATACATATGTAGAGTATCTTGTCATCCCTACTGCACTCGTATAAATATTCTCATATATGATTCAGAGCCCACTTAACTCGCCAGAAACACATCCCATTAAGTGATAGACTTACACAACAATATCAGATGATATAACAAAAACATATCATTTGAAAATACATATCAAAAATTATCAAGCAGATTATATTTCAAATATTCTACAAGGATTACATGTTAACACATAATCACACTATTATAGCATTAAATGTACTAAAACAATCCAGCTATTAACTATGCATAAACAGTATCACCTGGCACAATATTTTTTGTGACTTTTTTTATTGAATGCTCATGTATTTCTTATATAGATAAATTTCTACTTGTGCTTAGACACATTCATACTTCAAAAACACAAACACTGTTAAACTTATACATGTGTAATGCATGATAAATATACATTTCATTGTTGATAACAGAGGAACTTATGTGTCTCATCACTGAGCATTTGCTGCCTCAGATATAATCAATACAAAGTTATAATTTTACCAATATATAATTTCACTTTGTATCAGCATGATGAGAAAAGACGATGGTGGCATATTATTTTGTGTCATCCTTCAATGGTCAAGACATACGACATATAAACAGAATGATATATCTGAATAATTGTTTTGTGATAATAAACCACAAAAAGCAAATTCAATTGAAATGACATTCACATTTCGTACCAGGTGTTTTGACTTTAGCCCAATATTAACAAGTGCCATTTGTTTCATGTTGTAATGGGTTGCACAGTTCAACATTGTAGCGTTTGACAGGCCAGCGGGTTGATACCTCCCTTATCGGATCATCATAGCGTATCTAGAAACCTGGTAATACATTGATAATATAAGCAGACAATTTTGGACTATTGCGCTTAGTTATTATGAACAAGATCTGGGAATTTCCTCAGCATACAGTCAATAACTCCTTGGCCTCAGTCGACAACTTTGGTTCATCTGACTCGCGAACTCTGATTTTGAACACGGCGTAAACGATTTTCTATTTCCGTATTGGCTGATAAGCAGTTTCTTTCCCTCCAAAATTGACCCAAGTGGTCACGAGTGCACATATGAGTGTTGCACTATATAATGCACAGACAATGCACTCTCCAAGTGACGGGCGTCTATGTAACACGGGGCGTTGAAACTTACAAACTTACAGGCTCTGACTGGAGTTAGGAACTTTACTTACCAGCGACTGGAGAAGGCTTTTTCATAACACACCATCGCGGCTTCCACTGAAAAACAGGAAATCACACTTGTAGATTTATCCCACATAGTACCTCAACTTGAAAATCACAATTTACGAGGAAAACTCACTTTTTTGCCATCTCTAAACTTAATTTTTCCCTCGACCACAACAGTTGTATCGGCCATATTGGTCCCATGTTCTCGCACTGTGAGGGAATCAAACAGCTACTTCGATTGGTTGACAACCTACGGAAACACGGATGGGTCATAACCTTTTCGCGTGTTACAAGCGCGTGATGCAAGAATCGGGTCACTGAACTACATACCACAACGCCGTGGATGTGCCATCCATTAGCTGATATGTCCCTGCATTAAATATGCAACAAACAAACAATTCCATAGGTAAATTATATGTTTAGTTTTGTATTTTATATCTGCATCTTTATCTTTTGCGATAAAGACAGAATCAGGAATACAGTTTACATCCCTTGGTTGCGAATTAACGCGACTATCAGAAGCGTGCCTTCCTTGACTTGATATATTTGTTGGATCACAAACGTTTACATAAGAGTAAATATTTACTTACAATACTGTGGCACCGCAATATATATATATATAGCTTTATTGCACATCGCGTACACCTGCTTATCCATTCACTGTTTCGCCTGTACATATTATAGAGGTGTGTATACAGGTAGTGGCATCAGTATGATATACCAACATTAAAAGACGCCTCAAAACTGTAAGAAAACCTATATCGTTACCCGGTCGTATGCTATTATTGGTATATGGTCAAAATAAACAAATAAATACACAAAACAAAGATACGCACACGAACACATTCATATACGTTCACTTCTAGATCGATTTACCCGGAAACATTCGACACGAAGCTTGACCAAACATGTGTCATTTACGTCAGCATATACAGTTTTTGTGTAAACTTTCGTATTCTGTTTTGGCTGAACAACAGTTACTGTACAACGTCTGAGCTGAACGTTTCCGCGACGTAGCTGCCATGCCACGTGCCTTCTTTTCGCCACGTATTTAGTACTATGATATTTCTAAATATTTAACATCATTTCTATGCATAGGCGGGTGCGACGATTCGCCGAATGGTAGGTGCATCTCGGGACCTTGTGAATGACAAGGGTTCTGTGCCGAAAGGTTGTCGATACCAAACAATTCAATATACGTCACCAAACGAATTATACTCAACATGTTCTTTGATTTCCTTCGAAAACGGATATTTCCTGACATCAAATTTGAAAGAAATGGCAATATATTCTTCAGCTCGGAGGTTACAATTTCGCGTTTATTCAATATCTTAATCATGTATTATATTCAAAACAGGTGACTGCACAATCCCGTCCCGGGTATCCGGGTTACCCGTCCCAGCCCTAAATCAGGGACAATCAAGATTTATAAAATCGTTCCTGTTTATATTAGCTGTGTTTCATTACGTTGTAGGCTCGTAGACTTACACACTAAACACTTCACAAACCACCAGGTAGGTACATGCAGACACACGATTCTTCATCATAGATATATTGTCATTCAGTATGTTGACACGCATCTATAGGGCAACTGACACCTTGTAAATTCATTTCGCAAATCCCTGTTGTCAATGGGTTTTTTTTATTGTAAATATAACATATGTAACTTCAGAGGTACAGATAAGCTGCGTATCTGTGTAAATTACGCAAATATTTATGTGAAAACTCAATTCCTATTAAGTCAATTGCGTACAGGTACGCTTGATTTTTTTGTAAATACTCAATGAATGTAATCTTACATGCGTACACACAAAAATGTCAATCTTAGCTTGCCTACCGGGGTTTAGATAAAATAACTGAGGTATACTGAGAGGTTCTATTTCAGGAAATGAACTTGACAACTTTCAGTTTCTCATAATACAGATAAAATATAAATAACAAACACTAACATTTCAACTACATTATATTTTTAAAATTAATGGAAAATGGCAAAATACCCAATTGAGTTTGAATGAGGTGAGTACAATGTATTTGGTTACTGAAAGGAAAATTAGGATACCCAATTGAGATGAACACAAGCGTGTACATAACTCAATGACCCAAAAAAGTTATCTGTAGCTCTGTAACTTCTTGGAGAGGGCGTTCCTTAGTTGGATAATTTATGCCGAATCCATTTCATTTTCGAATAAAATATGTTTAAAACAAAACCAACTGACACGCCCGGCATCAAAGAAACAGAGAGATATGTATTGTATGACACATGCACCTATACGTTAAAACTGCCAGTGTATTGTCTTCTAACCGTTCGAGTGTATCAGTGCTATATTAGCTTCATCACATACAAGGGGGGAGCGAAACAACACTTGTACCCGAGGAACACAACAGAGCATGTATATCTACTACCAGCCCACACACCCTCTTACATCTTATGTTATTAATTACTCTACACAGACATGCAGATTGATGTATTTCTTGAATCACCTAACAGATCGCGTTATGCAATCTGGAAGACTGGAAACAAAAATAGAGTAAAACCGTGCGAGTTATTGTCCAGTCTGGAAACGTAATTTACTCAGTATATACTGTTATGTGCTGTGTATTAACAGTTGTCATTGAAAACTGCCCCCTGCCCCTTACTGCCATCTACACAAGAAATGCAGACGAGATCAAATGAAATCGGCGTTATGGCGAAAGCGGCTCACCGTAGAACGTATGTAAATAGCGTGCGACTGAAAGGCGTGGAATTCCTTGTGCATAGATGGCAAGACCCATTGAACGTTAAATAGAGCACTATGCGACCTCACTAGCCCTTTCAAATTTCGCGACTCCGTTTTTTAACGTATGAATAGAAAGAAACACACATTTATGCAATTTCTATATGTCTGATGGTGAAACTCCTAACGCGGCCGTGAGCATTCCAGTGTTTCTAAGCCCTGGCGGTTAAGTGTCAGAAATAGAATGCGCCTTTGAAATTTCTTTAAGCCCCCAAACCCTTAAAACTGAGTAATCGAAGACTGGATATCATATTAGTTATATCTCCTAACATGTATAGATTTTAGCATCACACGACAAGGTGGGTATACCTTCTAGCACACTTCGTTATAAATACCAAAGTTATATAGTTGGGCGCTACCGGTTTTCTTCCATAAATGTGTGTGTGCTTGTTGTTCTCGCAGTTGAATTGGTTCGTCAAATAAAACTCATCTTATTTAAACTGAAACAAATTGGTCGCTAACGCGTTCATAACAATTTACATCTTCGACGTTTCATTAATGCGCGCGTAGACCTGTACGTACCTACGTACATGCGCAAACGCACGTCTTCCTGTGGGTGAGCGAGTATGATTTTACACCGCTTTTAGCAATATTCCAGCAATATCACGGTGGGGGACACCAGAAATAGGTTTCACACATTGTACCCATGTGGGGAATCGAACCCGGGTCTTCGGCGTGACGAGCGAACGCTTTAACCACTAGGCTACCCCACCGGCCTCCTGTGGGTGACTGTGCGTATCTATCTATCTATCTCTCTATATATATATTAGTGGAATAATGTAACTGTGCATTACATGTATTTGATATTATGCCATTTCTAATGAAAAAAACATAACATGGTTTGTGGTGTTTTCCTTAATCACTGTTTAAGTGTTGACAGGATAATATCGAAATCTTTATGATTTGATACTAGGCATCGTGACATGCCCCTGAAGAGATGTGGTGTCACAAGACAGTACACAAATTCAGTATCGTGTGTGTCCACCATTAACGTTGATGCAGGCTTAACAACAAGGACGCATAGACGACACTGAGCGATTGAAGAAAGCTTGGGGAATGTTGTTCCATGTCTGAACCAACGCATGTCCAATTCAGCGCACGTCAATGGCTGATTCTGGGCTTGACGTAAACGTCTCTCCATTTCATCCCAAGCATGCCCGATAGGGGACATGCAGGCCTGGAGAAACAGCTGGCCAGGTGAGGTACGGGAATGTTCCGCTGTCTCAGGAAATCTGTCAACACGAGCGACATGTGGACGGGCATTATCTTGCTGAGCGCGAAGTTACGTCTCTGTCCTTGAATGAAGGGCTGCACACGAAGCCCAATGACCTCATCCCTGTATGGTAGACCTGTCAGACTGCCATTGACAATAACAAGTTGTGTCCAACCATGCACTGTGATGTCTCCCCATACCATAATGCTGCTAACATCAAACTGTTAGACTAAGGCTTTGTCTCTGACTATATAATTTTGATAGTAACAAACAAAACCAGTTAAATTGAAAAGGAGCCCAAGTTTGATGGGGAGATAGCAGGGCTTCAGCATTCACAGAGGGCTAGGCAGTAGGGAAAATAATGTGGTTCAGAGACTGTGAGACAGACTACCCAACTGTCGACGTTGAACACACACGCGCTAGCATACTGTTCACCTCGCCGTCTGTACACCCTAGCCCTGCCATCTGAGCTGTCCAGATGAAATCTCAACTCGCCAGTGAACAAAACACCATCCCAATCTTAATTGTCTCCTGTACCGTTGATCACTCATTCTCAGTAACTGGGACCATTGGAGTCTACAACTGTGAAAATATAAAGTCAATGAAATCCGCTACGCGGTCATATTTTCAATTAGTACCATATCTGAACTAATTTTCTGCAAAATATTCACACTCAGGCACGACCACATTTCTCACTGTGTGTCCACAAATATATAACCACCAATTCCGTGTTGTATTTTACGTTACAGTATTTCTATACGCTTACCATCTTTTTATTCCAATTGAATTGCGTGATATGCTCAGGAGTTCGTAGATCAATATTGTAGATAAATCCATCGAACTATGGAAGAGAATTAATTTGCTTCAATTCTAATATATAAATAAATAGAGTAATTAACATTTAGCTGTTTAACGATATCAGTAAAAGATTTAACCAACAACACTAATCAAAAATGGAAATATCAGTTGATAGTTTTATGCCCGAGTGCGAAACTGCAAAGCTGGTCGATGACAAACAATGGACAATAGCACAAATATTTCTGTTGGTTGTTTAGGAAAATGATATTATTCGTCTGTAACGTAAATTACTACTGTTAATATATTTCAATAATAACATCCACCTTTGACAACAATTAAACTTTATTTCAGTAAGAAAACTTATAATCAGTCTGTAATAATTTGCTTTTAATGAAAACGCCACAAAATCGTCAACCATCACAACTATATCTCCATTTTGAGATACAAATGTATGCTACTCCCATTTTTGCTTTTTCTGTCTTTACAATCAGGTTTCTTTTGGGCAGCAGTTTTAGCCATCGTATCTGAAATGAAATCCACTTGACATTGTTACATACGTTTCATCAATGGTATGACAACGGTTTTACCGTATTAATTCAACCATTCTGGAACCGCCTGGATATCTCGGGGGTAATGAAGTAATGTACGCTACTATAATGATGTGCTTACCAACACTCGTGAATACACACAGTTGGATCAAATAATAATGTCGATGGATTATTTCAGCCACAACCCCCTTCACACAAGAATTTCAAATAAAACTCAAACATATTGATACTATCTGAAACTGCTTCATACTTTTGTTAATTTACATCTCATCAATTAAGTTGGACATCCTTGTGATAACTGAATCATGGTTACACAGTGCAGGAGACGAAGCCAAGGTCGCTGAAATGACCCCTCCATCATATTGTCTATTGCACTGCCCAAGACTTGGCAGTGTCGGGGGAGGAATTGCCATTATTTACAGATCTTGTTTAGACATTCATGTCAACAAGACACAGTCTCCTTACAAATCATTCGAACTGTTTGATGTTTTAGTCACTTCTGGTCAATCAACAGCACGGTTGATGTTTATATACAGACCCCCACCATCTGCACGGAATAAGATCTCTGATGATGACTTTTCTCAGGAACTGTCAGATCTGTTTACTTCTTGTGCTAAGATCAACACTGTATTTTTGGGAGATTTTAATGTTCATTTTAACACCCCACAAAAGCCAAATGTGAAAAAATTCCTTGACCTTCTCAATACTTATTCTCTCCCGCAACTCGTCCTTAAACCTACTCACAAATCAGGGAACATTCTGGACTGGATTGTTATCCCGGTTGATGGGGACATTGTGAGAGATGTTGTAGTTGTCGACACACAAGCATCTGACCACAGTATTGTAACATTTACCCTCTGTATTCAGTACCGCATGGTTTTGTGTAGAGATCTAAGAAAATCGATGAACATGCTTTCAGTGAGGATCTGAAGTCATCGGAGCTTCTTCAAAATCCTCCTGAATCTGTTGAAAATCTTGTGTCACTGTACAACAGTACCTTGACTGCACTTCTTGACAAGCATGCTCCGGCTGTTGAAAAGCAGCTAATACTCCGTCCACATGCTCCTTGGTACAATGATAGTGTTCACGAGGCCAAACGTCAGCGACGTCAAGCAGAGCGTCAGTGGCGTAAATCAGGACTGGAAGTACACAGACAGATCTTCCGACAACACAGAAATCACGTAACTTCAGTTATCAGGCAAGCCAAGAGAGATCACTGTCTAAATGAGATTGGAATCTGTGGTGGTAAACCTGACCGCCTGTACAGATTCATGAAATCGCTGATGGGTAGTAAGAACGAAGATCAACTTCCTAAATCAAGTAATGACACTCTTCTTGCAGACACTTTCAACAAATTCTTTATGTCAAAGATAGAGATGATTAGGGACTCTCTGATATCTACATCTCCAGACAATGAGGTCCTACTTTCAGTGGACATATTCTCAGTAACCTGGAGCCTTTCACAGATAAGGAGGTCAAATCACTGGTAATGGGAGCTAATCTGATCCAATGCCGACCAAACTTGTTGTGAAACACCTGGACTTGCTCATTCCTATAATCACTGAGATTGTGAACAAGAGCTTACAATTAGGTGTATTTCCAGAAGCTTTTAAGAATTCCTTTGTTCGACCACTAATCAAAAAGCGCAACCTTGAGAAGTCTGAGCTAAAAAAACTTCCGTCCAGTATCCAATTTAGCTTTCCTCTCCAAAATCGTGGAGATGGCTGTCAGTGTGAGGTTGAAGAACCATCTGACAAGGTGTGACCTAGTGGACAAGTACCAGTCTGCATACCGGGAACATCACAACACTGAGACAGCTCTTATACATGTCAGTGATATCCTGAGGCAAACCCGTGAAGATCCGGGGTAGAATAGGTCTTCAGCAACCCATGTGCTTGCCATAAAAAGGCGACTATCTTGTCGTTAGAGGCGACTAACGGGATCGGGTGGTCAGTTTCGCTGACTTGGTTGACACATGTCATCGGTTCCCAATTGCGCAGATCGATGCTCATGCTGTTGATCACTGGATTGTCTGGTCCAGACTCGATTATTTACAGACCGCCGCCATATAGCTGGAATATTGCTGAGTGTGGCGTAAAACTAAACTCACTCACTCACTCCTGAGACAAATTGTGGATAGAGGGGATGCAGGGGCCTTGATACTCCTAGATCTATCATCGGCCTTTGACACTATAGATCACAGTGTACTGCTACAGGTCCTCAAAACAAGATGTGGAATCTCTGGGACAGCCCTCCAGTGGATTGTGTCCTATCTCCATAACAGATGCCAATGTGTGACAATCAGGAACAAGACATCAGACAGCGTTACCGTACCACACGGTGTGCCACAAGGCTCCGTATTGGGTCCACTGTTGTTTGTTCTGTACACTGGTCAAGCAGCTGACATCATCTCAACTCACAATCTGCAGCACCATTCATATGCAGATGATAACCAACTCATCAAGGCAATTTCGTGCAAAAATCCCTCTGACGGTCTAGCTGGAATTTCTGACTGTACAAGACACATCAAATGTTGGATAACAAATCATATGCTGAAACTAAATGACACTAAGACCGAAGCTCTTCTGATTGGATCCAAACAACTGCTGTCGAACATCCCTACTAGATCTGTGACAATAGCTGATGCTGTCGTCCCTGTCTGTTCCACTGCAAAAGATCTGGGTATTGTCCTCGACTCCTCACTTTCGATGGAAGCTCAAGTCTCTCAGATCTGCAAAACCTGCCACTTTCACCTTCGTTCCATCAGTAACATCCGTCCCTATCTCTCAGTGGATGCTACCCATGCCTTGGTCAGAGCCCTCATAACCTCACGCTTGGATTATTGCAACGATGTATTGTTTGGCATTCCTCAGAAAACTCTGTGACAGACTCCAGAAAATCCTAAACACTTCTGCCCGCATCATTAAACGCTGCCATATCAAGCCAGTACTGAAGGAGCTTCACTGGTTGCCCATCAAATCCAGGATCGAGCATAAGATACTGTGTCTGACCTACAAAGCCAAGCATGGTCTTGCTCCCCAGGACTTGTCTAACATGTTGTCATCATACTCCAGTTCACGCAATCTTCGTTCCAACAGCCAGGATCTGCTCACTGTGCCCAGCTTCAGACTGAAAATGTTTGGACAGCGCTCTTTCACCTATGCAGCCCCTACTCTCTGGAACTCTCTTCCTTATGACCTCAAAACTATTGACAATTTCGACTTGTTCAAGTACAAACTTAAAACCTACTTCTTCCAGCAGTATCTCCCTTAATGTGCTCTACTATTACTTCTGTACATATGTACATACTTGACTCTGTAGTGCCTTGAGCATGTCTGTCGAGGTGGATTGGGCGCACACATAAATATGCATTATTATGTTTTACAGACTAAAGATAATATGCAGCAGAGAGGGTTTGGGTGATCCTGGCACAGTCAGGCCGGTAAGGCTCATCATCACCTCAGGGCCCTCGCCCCCTCTACACGAAGCCCAGACAGCGAATGGGACTTCTCCCAGGAAACGCTGCCTAGTCGAACCCACCAAGAACTTTCCGGAGAATATGAAGGCTCCCCAACACTGCAGCCTTCTGCATTACCCAGAGTGTCAGAAGGGTTGTGCTCCCGGTGGAGAACCCGGGCACTCTCCTGATCTGCGTCAAGAGATCAGGAGGTACCAAACCAAGGGCACCGAGAACAATGGGGAGCCTGGCGACAGTGTACTTGGGATGCAAGCGAGACATCTCAAAGGCGAGGTCCGCATACTTAGTATGCTCTTCCTGAATCTTGCCAATCACATTGGTGTCAAAAGGGACAGAAAATTCAATGATATAAATAAATTCATTGGCTTTATCAAAAAGGACAAGATCATGTTTGTTGGCAGGAATTCTTCTGAGGCAGTATATGGGCCTATTCCACAGAAGTTTGAAAGCATCATTTTCCATGACGCCCTGGTTCAGGGTCGTACCATGGATGGACCTCGGAGTCAAAGCCACAGGCATGTCGGAGACGGTAGTAAAAGCAACGAGCCATGCCATCATGTCGTTTAAGATATGCTGTTTGTGCCAAGGAAGGGCATCCACTGACAAGGTGTTGGACAGTCTCCGTGAATTCATTGCAAAGACGACATTTCATATTGATATTTTCTTTAAGAATCACATTTAGGCGATTGCGAGTGGGAAGTGACTGGTCCTGAGCAGCAAAAAGGAAGCCCTCAGTTTTACATTTAAGACCAGCCGACTTCATCCAGGCGAAGGAGTCGGTGGGATTGCTATTCCGTTCAACACACTTCATGTACACACGATGCAATGGCTTCTCAGAAAGCTTCTCCACAAAAGACCGACTCTGGGCAGACTTGGTGAAGGACTTCACCTGGTTTACTCCCATCGCTGTACCTTCCAGCAGTACATAGCCATCAACAAAATTTACCTGAAATCTCAGATCTGTCCAACAACCTTGGCACGCTTAAAATAGCTGTGGAATTCCTTGCTTTCATCATGAGTCTTCACATGCATCACCAGAGGATCATCCGATAAATAAATATGTGCAAAAGTACACAATAAAATTCTATCATGAAGATCCTCCACATTAATCAAACCCCGACCTCCAGAATTGCTTGGCATGTATAAACGGTTAAGAGAGGAACGAGGGTGGTGGGCTCTGTTGTCAGACATGATCCTTCTGGTCAGACGGTCAAGACTCTGGATGTCTTGTTTTGTCCAATCAACTACTCCAAAGGAATAGGAAAGGACTGGCACAGCAAAAGTATTGGTGGCTTTGACCTTGTTTCGAGCATTTAGCTCTGAGCTCCAGATTTTCTTTAAACGAGATTTGTACTCGGCCCGAAGTTTGTCTTGAATCTGGGCATTCTGGAGCTTGTCTCGAACTTGCATTCCAAGATAGGTGTAGGCCTGATCTTCCACAAGATGCTCAATAACTCCTCCCCTTTTAACTTGACCGATCCATCATTAACTACCTTGCCACGTTTCAAATGAAGAGTATTACATTTGTCGAGTCCAAATGTCATGCCAATATCATTAGAAAAGGACTCGACAAGGAGAACCTGTTATTTCAAATTGGAATCTCCTTTGGCAAGGAGCTCGATGTCATCCATGTAAAGGAGATGAGTAAGTGGTGTTGGTGATCTGTGCTGAGGAGGTCCGGAATGGTAACCCTTCTCTCTGTTGAGCAGAAAGCTCAAAGGATTTAGAGACTAACAAAAAAGCAAAGGACTAAAGGAATCCCCCTGGAAAATTCCCCTTCTGATTGGAATAGATTCCGAAGTCTGCACCTGCCCTTGCGAGTACATCTCAAGTTGAGTCGACCAGCAACTCATTAAAGACTTGAGTAAATCAAGTAGTCGCGCCGGGAGGTCAATACAATTAAGAGACTTCAGAATCCATTCGTGAGGAACAGAGTCGTATGCTTTCTTGTAGTCAATCCAGCACATGGAGAGGCTGCGGTGATATGCTTTAGCCTCTTCCAAAATCATTTTCTGTACAAGAAGTTGATCCTTGCACCCCCAACATCCCTTTCTCGCCCCCTTCTGCTCTCTGTAAATGATATCATTAGAAGAGCAGTAAGATGACACGAGGTTTGTCAAACACCCTGTGAATATTTTATACTGAGTATTCAAACATGTGATAGGGCGGAAGTTTTTGGGATCAGTCAAGTCTCCTTTCTTGGGGAGAAGTATTGTGCGACCTTTGCAGAACCATGGAGGAACATCACCTGTGTCCACAAGAGAATTGAAACAGTGAAGTAATGGTGTTTGGACACAGGGGAACAGTTTCCAATACCGGTTTCGAATGCCATCAGGCCCTGGAACTGTATTAGATTTGGACTTTTTGATGACACTTTTCAGGCAATCTGGTGAGATGTAACAGACAAACGACCTATTTACTTTCTCATGCATTGCATGGTCATAATCACTGACCCATGGTGCCTCCAGGTTACAGTCGCCGGGTATAGACCACAACTGTTTCCAGAACCTTTCATTGGCATCCATGGAAGGCCGTTCATCATGCTCACCATCACCGTTTGTTTTCAGTTGCCTGTAGAAGTGTTTTTCATTATTTCTAAAACGTTTATTTTGTTTGATAAATTTATTTTTCTTTTCCCATATTTTCTTTCTTTCAGTCCAAACTTTTATTTGGAAAAGTACCTTTTCTTTTGTTGTCTTGTACTGCAATTTCAATTTTCTCCAAATTGTCTTTTGCCGTTTTGACATTGGACTCCCTGATGATCTTAGTTTCAGGCACAGCTCTATCCAGGAAACGTATTTTCTAGTTTCTGTTAGTTTCACTTGAAACCGGTTTTTCTTTGGTGTAGTCTTCTTAGTATTAGATGTTTTTTCTTTGGAAACTCTGTGAAGTTCCTCCAAGGTTCGAGCAGCAGCGTAGACACAACAATTAACTTCATGTAATGAACAGTCCGTAGAAAGTTTCATAGAAATAATGTCATTTAATAAATCAATTTCGTGTTTGGGAAAAGATAAATTTGTTTGTTGAATTGGCCTCCGTTTTTCTAAAGGTATATGAGATATTTCATCATAAATAGAATGAAACAAAATATACACAGGATTTTCTGAAAGATCTGCAACTGAAGAAGAGGAAGAGTGAGGGTCCGACATTTCGGGGCCAATTGGCTCTATGCCAGAAGAGTTTCCATCAGAAAGAGGAAAGAGGTTGACACGGACATCCATTACAAGTTTTGCGTCTGCTGCCACTTGAGCATTCTGCTCATGCAAAGGTTCCTGACGGGCACCAGTTGTGGGTTGAACTGGCTCACAGCCTATGAGATTTTTAAGACGCCGGAATTGGTCGCGGAGATTTTGCTCCGTCAGGTAAGCATACATGGGCATGGCATTGTCCCAGTGCAGCTTAAGCGACTTGCCATTAATGCGTGGATTATCAGGCCACCCTGTCGCTTTCGCACACTCAAGTAGTGTGGATTTGAGATGGTTTGACCAAGATATTCTTGGCCGGGTTCTGTGCCTTCCCCTGGGGCACGTCCCACCTCCAGTATGGTTTGTTTCTTTACCGGAGGAAGGCTGACTGGGCTGCGGAAGTGAAAGATTGAATTCTTCTTGGTTTTCTGTAACCCAGTAATTTCCCAGCTTCGGGGGGTCAGCCCTAACTGGGTGATGTACGTTCAGTTCAGGGAATATAATTCCCCTATCTAGGCCCACCACGAAGAGGCGTACATCATCAGGCCCTTATTATTATTATTATTATTATTATCAATTAAAAGTTTATTTCGACATTCAATAATATAACCCTATCACAATCCATTCAACAAATGGAATATTTAGATGCCTAATTACATTTCCTAACACTAAAAGAATTGAAAATATCGTGCATAGAAAACTAACATCGTTAGGCATTCATCGACGTAATTTACGTTACCGCAATGCAATTCACGTTACTTATACATAAAGGGCGATAACTACCTAAACCTACATTCACTTGTCAAAGTTTGATTCACATTGATGATATTTCGGCATGCAATACCAGACAACAAAACACAATAGTTTCGCGAACTTTCCAAATTTCCAAATATGGCGGTAACGTAAATTACAGTAACGTAAATTAGTTCTGGTAATGGTTCATGGCAAGATGAATAAATACAGAATGCTTGGTTGGGGCACATGAATAACAAGAGACCGACGGGCCCCAAATGTACAGTGATGAAGACTATTACTGGGATGCTAGATTTTGAATTATAACTGTAACGTATGATTACTTGCTTAAACAATATCTACTGAAGTCGAGCATATTTTTCCATATTGTAAGAAAAAATGTTAACGAAACTATATGTTTCGAGAATAGATGAACAGGCCAATCAAGAAAAGTTATCGTGTGTGATGATTTACCACAAGAAAAGCTGTAAACAAACACAAAGTAACGTTAATGACACTACCGACATAGTCTAAACGTGAGTTTTGTGTTTTGCTTGGTGAACCATCGACATGATAACATGGTCAAATTAACCGTATGCATTTTGGTTCTTTCATGACACGAAATATATCAAAATTTCCGTTGGATAAAATTTTGCAGCAAGCTTAAATGCAAAGAAAACGCACTACCGACATAGCAAAATGCCGACATAGAACCAAATGTTTGCTTCTGACGCTGCAATATGACTTGGTGCAATCTCTGTGAAGGTTGATACTGATTGTAAACAGTATTATTTAGAATATCTGCACAGACACACCTCGATTTAATATCAAATTTGAAATCACCGACAGCCAAAAAGTCAGCGACAGCAATGGTCCCA